ATACATGTATGCATGTTGCGAGAGAAATTGAGACAAGTCTGATTGCACACGTGTCCCATATTCGCTGGTTCTTTCTCGTTGATCTCATAGCAAGTCCAAGCAGAGCTTGCCAGTTGAAGTAACGAGCATTGGAAAGATTTGAACTTGATTGAACTTGCATGAATATCTCCACATGGGCTCACACCCATAAAGGGATCAGCGTGGTTTTCTTTTTCTTTTTCGATTTTTATAACCTAATGGTCTCTTTTTCCCTCTGGTCTGAGCTTGGAGGATTTCTAACAAACACCCATCCCTTTGGGAGAAGCTGGCTGCAGACCCCTATTCAATGCTTCTCCGCAGGGGTGTTGAACCCCTACTTACCCATAGGCGCGCCATACCAAGCCTGTAGATGTTCATTGTGGGTCTGGTCCATATGGAGCTTCAAAAGAATACAGTTTCAAAATCCAGATTCCAGTATAATAATGCAATGAAGTTGTGTAAGCTTACATCCCTTAGGGTTTGCTATCTGCAAGTCATATTGTCTAAGGGTAGATCCTAGTGTGTCCTCATGTAAGTGAGAGTGTGTCTGATGTTGGACACAGTGTTCGAGTCGGAATTCAGACCAGCGCGCAGCGGCCATAGCCGCTGGATGTGACGAGTTGACTTAAGCTGAGTTCCTGACCTAAGGCCATACTTCTGAGTTTTCTGTGTGGGTGCACTATGCCATCACGAGTTTGTTGCTGACTATGAGTTGACGAAGTTGTGTTGTCATCGGGACATACATGTATGCATGTTGTGAGAGAAATTGAGACAAGTCTGATTGCACACGTGCCATATTCGCTGGTTCTTTCTCGTTGATCTCATAGCAAGTCCAAGCAGAGCTTGCCAGTTGAAGTAACGAGCATTGGAAAGATTTGAAATTGATTTAACTTGCATGAATATCTCCACATGGGCTCACACCCATGAAGGGATCAGCGTGGTTATCAACCTTTGCTGCTGTTTTTCTTTTTCTTTTTCGTTTTTTATCCTGGTGCTGCCTATCATTCTGTTCTTGCTTAATGGTCTCTTTTTCGCTCTGGTCTGAGCTTGGAGGATTTCTAACAAACACCTATCTCTTTGGGAGAAGCTGGCTGCAGACCCCTATTCAATGCTTCTCCGCAGCGGTGTTGAACCCCTACTTACTCATAGGCACGCCATACAAGGAGGTTGGTCAGCAGAGCAGCCTGTAGATGTTCATTGTGGGTCTGGTCCGTATGGAGCTTCAAAAGAATACAGTTTCAAATTCCAGATTCCAGTGTAAGAATGCAATGAAGTTGTGTAAGCTTACATCCCTTAGGGTTTGCTATCTGCAAGTCATATTGTCTAAGGGTAGATCCTAGTGCGTCCGTGTGTAAGTGAGAGTGTGTCTGATGTTGGATAAAGTGTTCGAGTGGGAGTTCAGACCAGCGTGTGGCGCCCATTGCTGCTAGATGCGACGAGTTGACTTAAGCTGAGTTCCTGACCTAAGGCCATACTTCTGAGTTTTCTGTGTGGGCGTGGTACGCCATAGTGAATTTGTTGCTGATTCTGAGTTGACGAAGTTGTGTTGTCATCGGCACATACATGTATGCATGTTGCGAGAGAAATTGAGACAAGTCTGATTGCACACATGTGCCATATTCGCTGGTTCTTTCTCATTGATCTGATATGAAATGGTTTTCACCTTTGCAGTGACAGATGCAGATCCCAGGGATCGATCCCTAGACCTTACCTCGCCCGTGTACAGTACCCCTGTTTGTTTTGAACCCGTGACCTGCGTTTTAGGAGTCAGTTGTTGTCTGTCGTAGGTCGGTGTAGTTGTCGGGTCTTGAACCTTAGGTCTGTCGAGTAGGGGTCAAAGTTGCGTAGAGGTCGTAGCTGTAGCGATTCTGAAAGGTCAAGGTCGTAGCTGCTACAGTCCTGAAGGGTCAAAGTCGTAGCTGCTACAGCTTTGAAAGTCCAAGTCCGCATGCTTCCAGAAGGTCCGGAAGTGGCCTTTCGAACGTTGCTCACAGCAGACCAGAGGCAAGCGGGCAAGTGGTGAGTCACCCTTGTTTACTCAGCGGCACCCAGTCTCAGTCTAACTTAGTCCAGTCAGCGAGTACCATGTGGGACTGTGTGCACCAAGGGCCCGGTGGAAAAGGGGCAGACCAGTGACCAAGAGAAGTATAAATCAAGAGGCAGTGTCCAGCCATTCATTCATTCCTGTGTGAGCCATGCGGAAGCGCTGCCCATGAGTCTTGTGCGAGGTGGTCTGCCCGAAGCCGAAGTGGGCTAAAGGAAGGAGATGGCGTCCAATGTTAATAGTAGCGAGCGGCCATAGCCGCCATAGGTTAGGGATAGTGTCCAGTGTGTAAGTGAGTGTGAGTGGAGTACAACGTGAGTGCGTGTGGGATATTCAGAGAGATCCAAAGCTGGGTGTGTGCGAACAGTTGAGGTGTATTCAGTGCCGGACAAGGGGAGTGGAGGCGCTCAGGCGCCATAGCCAGTTTGAAGCAAGTTTGTATCCGAACTATGTTCGCGACTTGAACGTCTTTGAGGTTTGTGTGGGCGCATCGCACCAGTGTGGTTTGCCACTTGGTTGCATGCATTCGAAGTGAAGACGAAAGCATTGGTATCAGAGCTGGTTCCCACTATTCCACGCGTCATAGCAGAAGTGCGCTGAAGAAGAAGAGTCCGCCATAGCTGCGCTGCGGAAGGAGGTGCCGCGTACCTGCAAAGAAGATAATGACGAGAGAGAGAGAGAGAGAGAGAGAGAGAGAGAGAGAGAGAGAGAGAGAGAGAGAGAGAGAGAGAGAGAGAGAGAGAGAGAGAGAGAGAAGCGATACAAGATTGTTGTGCGTTCCACGGAAGGAAGTGGCGGCCATAGCCGCAGAGCTCGAGCACAGAGTTAACGAAGAAGAAGGAAGAATGACCAAGGAGGAGGGAGAGACCAAGAGGAGAGAGAAGCCATAGCTAAGGAAGAGAAAGGAGGGACGAAGAAGGAGAGAGAAGCCATAGCCGGGGTGAAGGAAGTGAGAAAGAAGGAGAACATTGAAGGTTGGTGAGGAGGAAAGGAGTCGGCAGCCATAGCCGAGTTGAACGTTGACCGGGGAGTTGACTGAGAGTTGATCGAGGGTTGACCGAGGCGTTGATCGGGGTGTTGACCGGCGTTGACCAAGGCATTGATAGAGGGTTGACTGGCGTTGACCAAGGTGTTGATCAGCGTTGACTAGCGTTGATCGGAGTTGTTGACCACGACTTTGACCAAGCCGAAGTTGGTATACTCTCATCAAGCCTTCAACCTATTCCCTCGCCCTATGGATGTGCACTCACCCCATGGTACTTGCTGAGTTTGTCTGTCTCTCTTCTTTCTGCATTGAGTCTCTTCTGTCCAGGTGTTAGGAATTCCGTGGATGAGGTTGTAGAGCTGCGTTGACCAAACCCACACTTGCTGATCGCGTCGTCCTGTCTGCGACGTTAAATAATTCCTAGGGAGTTATGGGGGATTTCCTTAAATGCCTCCTGATGAGCATCGAAGTCCTGTAGTGACAGCTGGAGTATTAGGTCTAGGCTAGAGACCATAGTTGACAGGGTCCTACAAGGATCCTGTAGTCCCTAGAGAGTCAGTCAGTCAGTCAAGTGGGTAGGTCTACATGGTGAGAAGTGGGACAGTCCTTGTCGTGCACCTGACACCATGGATGACTACCCTATGTACGGCTTGCTCGTGGGGTTCTCCCTCTGGGAAACCCTCTGGCTTCTCCTTTTTCCGTTAGGATTTTGGAACACGTTTACGTGTAGAGTGGAGACGAGAGGTGGAACTGGAACCACTCCTTATACAAGGAGCAGGAGGAGGAGGCTGCAAAGATTCTGGCCGAGCAGAAGGCCAGGAGGGAGGAGTTGGCGAAGCAGGCTAAGAAATTGGCCTTATTGGATGAGCAAGCCTCGAAGAAGAAGAAGCTGGAGGAGTTGGAGAAGTTAAAAAAAGAGGAGGAAGAAAAATTGAAAGCAGTGGAAGTAGAAGAAGAGAAAACAACAAGAGAAAAAGGTGGAAGAAGAAGTGCCCCTGATAAGGAGTATCAGGAGAAGAGGGGAGTCAAGTGGCACAAAGGAGGAGGACCCTTGGATAGAAAAGGCCTCAGAATGGGTCGCTAATCTGTCCCTGGGTGAAGAGGAGGCGGCGATGTTATATGTCTCCAGCGAAGAACAGGAGGCGGTCATAAAGGAGTTGGAAGCTGAAGAAGACCCCCTCAAGCGTCAGAGGATAGAAGAGGAGAAGAAGTTAGAATGAAAGTTGCGTCTGACCAGGGACAAGAAGCAAAGGTTGGAGGCGGCAAGTAAGGCGGCAAAAGAATTGGAGGGGGTGAAACAACAAAGGGTGTAGATGGAGGCGCAACAAGAATTATTGAACTCCTGGCACAGGCTCAGGAAGAGCAGTTCCAATTCGCTAGAAGTCAAGATGTAGCCTTGGGATCAATACGATTGGGGTTTAGAGAGTTCGCATGCGAAATGATGATGCATGTTGGGCTAAGAGGTGAAGGCGAGTTTAGAAAATACGGAGCGATTTTGTACATGCGCCATAGAAGGCGCAAAACTTGCTGCCCCAAGGGAGGAGGAGGTTCGTCCTCGTAGAGAGCCTGTTAAGGTGAAGTTCCCTGATTCCTACAACGGGAAGGAGGAGGAGAACTTCGATAACTAGGAGGCAAACATAAACTCCTATGTACACCTTCAGAAGATAGCTCATGAGGAACATGTCCTCATTGCCTTCCATGCCCTCAAAGACGAAGCAGCTAGCTTCGCCAGGTCGCTTTGCCATGCTGCTAAGTGCGAGAACGATATGGTCGCATATTCCCTGATAACCCATAGTGACTTCTTTAAGTTACTGCATGAGAGGTTTGCAAATGTCACGCAAAGTGTTAGGGCTTCCTACAAACTGCAGACCATTCATTCCCGCCAATGGAGGAGTGCTAGAGCACTCAAGAGCATCATTGATGAACTGATCGTCGTCCTTGACCATGACCCAGTTGGTCAACCTGTTTTATTGTGCCATGCCCGAACCTTGCGCGGACACTTCTTTGAGAAGAGTAAGGAGTCTACCATGACCTACGATATTCCGAGTAGGGAAGTGGTAGCGTTTGAAGCGCAGTCCATGCCAGCTTCCACTTTCTGGCATAAGGACCTTGACAAGGGCAAGAAGTGGAAACGCCGTACCATCTCGGGTCAGGTTAAGGGCAAGGATCACCCGATCCTTACACTAGATGAGGGTGGTATGGAGGAGGTCCCATATGATCAGATAGAGTGGGGCCTAGAGGAAGAGGATAGTGGTGTTAGTCAGGGGAGGACTTACGCTGCTCTTGCGTCTGGAGGGAGGCCGCAAGGAAGTGGGAGAGGTCAAGGTTAAGGGGGTCGGGCCTTCGGTGGTCGTGGACAGGGCGATCAGGGGGTTGGCGGCAGAGGAGACCGCCAAGTGGAGGTAGGGGTCAAGGTCCCCCGCAAAACCGCCCTTGCAACACTTGATCACCTCTCAGGAGGGGTGGATGGCACCCTGGCAGGCCCTGGAAGATCTGGGCTTGGAACAGACTGTATGGCAGAGGCGTATAGACCAGGATCGGTGCATCTACTGCGGTGATCTTGGGCATATTATCAAATACTGTCCCAAATATACAGAAGCCCGGAGTGCTGCACAGGCAGCAAAAGGCAACCGTCGGTAGGGGTTGCAACTGCCCCTATCCCTAAACCATGTGGAGAAGAGTGTGCGCACCACAGAGAAAACTCCCAAACCACATGTGTCTATGGCAGAGGTTGTTGGCCAGTGCCTAGACAACTGTCCATAGACTGCTTGTGTTAGAGTCTCTCTCGGCATTTCCCTCACAGGCGTGGGATAAGAGTTGAAGGAGAGGATGCCTGCCTGGGCCAACTTGAAGAAAAAAAGTAAGGGATAACTAGTTCTAGTAGNGTGGGATAAGAGTTGAAGGAGAGGATGCCTGCCTGGGCCAACTTGAAGAAAAAAAGTAAGGGATAACTAGTTCTAGTAGATGTAGAGGTCTTTAGAGGCAGAGTAGGGGCCCTTATAGATAGTGGGGCCACTCGCAGCTATATCAGTAAAAAAGCGTTGTAGAGGTTGAAGTTGAATCTCAAAGTCCAAAAGTTCGAGGACCCTATAGTTACAAGCATCCTCGCAGACAATCGCACTATGCGAGTCGAGGATTATGTAGAGGGAGTCTAGGCGTACTTTGGCCTAGAGAAGGATGGGAAGGTGGAGAAAGTTCTCTATTCCCCGACTCTCCTCGTAGAGGGCAACATTCCTTTCGATATGGTCCTTGGAATGGACCGGGGAGAGGCATCAGGGGCCACACTCCATTTAAGAGAGCACTAGTGTAGGCTCCCTAGTCCAATAGACGAAGTTAAGACTGCTCGCCTGTTTCACGTGTCAGGGGTAGATAACCCCTTGGCACATTGCTGTCTCAGTGCTCCCGCGTTCGCGCGATTAGTAAAGGAGAAGCAATTAGAAGAGCAGGTTTTTGTAGCCTATATCAAGCCTGTTACCGAGCCTTAGGAGGAACAACCCATCGATTCAGTCATTGCCAAGCTGCTGGAGGAGTATACAGATTTAGCCAAGCCGCCTATAGGAGTAGTGCAGCAGCGTATCCAGCATCGCATTGAGATAGAGCCTGCCAGTAAGGGAGCCATCTAAGGGAGCTAGAGGAGCTGCACAAGCAATTGGATGAGCTCCTTGAGAAGGGTTGGATTAGGTCCAGTTCCTCTCCATTTGGAGCACCTGTTTTTTTTGTCCCAAAGAAGGAGAGAGAGCTTCGCATGTGCATTGACTATAGGGGTCTTAACGCCATCACAATGAAGAATGCAGAACCACTGCCCGTATAGATGACCTGCTAGATTTGGTGCAGGGCTGCAAATACTTCTCCAAGATAGACTTGAAGTCAGGCTATCATCAGATAGAGTTCCATCCTGATGATCAGCACAAGACTACGTTTAGGACTAGATATGGGCACTACGAGTTTGTAGTGATGCCCTTTGGACTAACCAATGCCCCAGCTACCTTTCAGCGTTGTATGAATGATTTGTTTAGGCCTTGGTTATATAGATTCGTAGTAGTCTACTTAGATGATATCCTAGTCTTTAGTAAGACCCTCCAGGAGCATGAGGGCCATCTGAGGCAGATCTTGGAGAAGCTGAGAGCAGCTAACTTCAAGACCAATGCGAAGAAGTGTGAGTGGGCCAAGACACAAGTCTTGTACTTGGGCCACGTCTTAGATGGAGATGGCATAAAACCTTAGGACAGTAAGATAGCAGCGACCAAAGATTGGCTAACGCCCCGCACGTTGACAGGGCTAGCCAACTATTATAGAAAGTTTAATGGGATAGAGACTGTACTTCGGCCATGAAGAAGTTAAAGCGGGCCGTGATAGAATATCCAGTCCTCAAGGCAGCCGATCCGTCAGTACCTTTTGTCGTCACCACTGATGCAAGTCAGTATGGTATAGGTGTTTTTTTACAGCAGGATGATGGCAATGGGTATAGACCCGTAGAGTTCATGTCCGCTAGGATGCCTTCAGAGAAGGTAACGACATCTACCTACGAGAGGAAACTTTACGCTCTCAGGCAAGTATTAGATCACTGGAAGCATTCCCTGCTTGGGAGGCACTTCAAGGGGTATTCAGACCACGAGACGTTGAGGTGGTTGAAGACGTCGGCCAAGATGACACCTAAGCTTACTAAGTGGGCCGTCGAAATAGATCAGTTTTACTTTGAGCTCAAGCCAGTGAAAGGAAAGTATAACATAGTCGCGGACGCTCTGAGGACCTGCAATAGAAAGTAAAGGAAGCGTATGCGTAGGACCCTATTTATAGCAATCTCCTCAAAAGAGTTAAGGAGGCTCCAAAGACTGAACGAGATTTTTGCACTATAGACGACTTACTGTTCGAGAAGACTAACGTAACTGACCGCTTATGCGTTCCCAGCAGTGAAGAGATCCGTAGTTTGATCTTAGGGGAATGCCACGACACAGAGGGACATTTTGGTTGGAAGAAGACGTTAGCCAACCTTATACGCGCGTATAGGCCGACTGCATAGAGTATGTACGCAGTTGTAAGGTATGTCAAAGGAATAAGACCACTATGCGAGCCCCTCTAGGTCTTCTCAGACCCTTGCCTATTCCCGACGGAGCCGAAGACTCTGTGTCCGTTGACTTCATGAACGTTGGGGTCAGGAGTAGGCATGGCAAGAGCCAAGTCATGGTTATAGTCGATAGATTTAGCAAAGACGCAGTTTTCCTTAGAGGCACGCACAAATCTAGTAATACATAAGTTTTTCGACCATTGTGTCAATGACCATGGGTTACCTCTATCTATAGTTAGCGATAGAGATACCCGGTTCATAGTCAGAACTGGCGGGAACTAATGAAAGTCTACGGATCTAGGTTGTTAATGTCATCTGGCCGACATCCAGAGACCAATGGTCAGACTGAACATATGAATAAAGTCCTGCAGCAGGTTCTGAGCATGTGTACATTAGACCCGGAGGGTACGACATTGACGACATCGTAGGTGAAGATGTCTTCAGAATAGGAGGTAGAGGTCGTCCACAAAGACAGTATAAGGTCAGGTTCGCTTTTCAGGAACTAGAGGATGAATTACGAATCTGCCAACCTTAATGCAGCCTGTTTGGTGTCATGCCGGTGGCAGAATGAATGGAGTTGTTATACAACCCCTTCATCCCATATTTCCTCATCCGCAATGATTAAAGCGCAGAGAAGTCGGAACACAGTCTGGTTGATTTCTTCAGCAACCGTTGGCTTCGTGGTGTCAGCCAAATGTCATGCATAGCTTGAGGCCAGGGAGTTGGGGACGTGAAGTCTTTCCATTCAGTACTGATGAAGCGCGGGTCCCGATCACTCACAAGAGTTTCGGGGCTCCGAACTGCAGAATGTACTTCTGTTTGAACTCACGGATCACCAATTAAGCTCGAGCATGAGATGGCAAAGGAATCAAATTAAGAAATTTAGAGAAGTGGTCAACAATCACCATGACTTGTGAGTAGCCGTTCTTACTTACCTTTCCCATGTCGGTGAAGTCGATAGAGACGGACTCACCGGGACCATAGGGAATGGGAAGGGGTGTAAGTAGCCCCATTGGCTTTCGTCTACATGGTTTGATTCGTTGACAAACTTGACATTCAGCCACAAATCTTTCAGCAGATCCCTTCATGCCAGACCAATCAAACTGTCCCAATAGGTTCCCATATATCTTTGCCATGCCGAAGTGTCCACTCCGGCCATGAGCCAAGTCCAGAAAGTGTGTGCGGAGAGGCTCATGGTTGGGCACACACAAACGGTTATGGTTCCCGTAGCGACGAAAAATCAGTCCTCCAGACTCGTGAAAATCAGGCTGACTGTTGGTCAGCCCGCAGCGGCGCAAGGATGGAACTAAGGTCTGGATCCTTGGCAGTGTGCTCTACGAGCTCCACCTTCCGGAGGTCATAGGAATTCACAAGGCAAGTCATGTACTCAGGGTGGCAAGACAACGCATCCGCAGCTCGATTATAACAACCCTTTTTGTCCCTTGATTCAAAGTCAAAAATGTCAATTTCATGGAACCAGCGAAGTAATGTAGGGGATAGGGTAGTTTGATCTTTGATCCACTTTAAGGTAACACTTTGCAGTGGCGTCCCAAAAGATAGTGCTTCCAATGGTCCAAAGCCATACGCAAAGCATAGAGCTCGCATGTAGGTGGTTGTAGTATTCGAGCGGCCGCAAGCCATCACCGTCATCTTGCTGCAGCACTGCGCGGATTCCATACTGGCTTGCATCTGTAGTACCTACGAATGTGAGTTTGGAATCTGCAATACGGAGTACAGGGTAACTTACCAAAGCTTCTTTCAAAGCTTGAAAGGCGTCCTTGCATGAGGTATCCCAAGCGTAAGGAACTTTCTTACTTGTTAACCGAGACAACGGGCAAGCAACAATAGAGAAGCGGGGCACAAACTCTGGGTAGTACGACGCGAGACCAAGGAAAGAGCGTAGTTCGCGGATGTTCGCAGGCTGAGGCCAATTGTGTATGACTTCAACCTTGGTTGCCTCAGGCTCTAAGCCTGTAGCAGACAACCGATGCCCAAGATAGATGATGCTATTCTTCCCGAACTCAGATTTCTCTAAGTTGAGATGGAGTTGCGTCTTCTTGAGGATGGTGACCACTTCCTCAAGGTGCTTTATGTGTTCCTTCATGGATTTGTTGAAGATCAGTATATCATCAAGGTATACCACCACGAACCGACCAATGTGTTCGCGGAGGACCTTGTCCATGAGGCTTTAAAAGGTGGTTGGCGCGTTCGTGAGACCGAAGGGCATTATGGTAAACTTGTAAAGCCCATCGCGTGTTTTGAACGGAGTCTTGTGCTGGTCCGCAGGATGACTTCAATCTGGTGATAGCCAGACCTGAGATCGATCTTGGAAAAGACCTTGCACCCACCTGCGGCATCAAGCAAGTTGTCTATGCGAGGCAATGGATAGGCGTTTTTTCTTGTGATGCGGTTTAGACCGCGATAGTCAATACACATGCGGAGCTTGCCTCCTTTCTTCGAGACAAACAAAGTAGGGGCACCAAATTCAGACTCACTAGGCTTGATCAAACTCTTGTTAATCACTTCATCAATCTATCACCGGAGTTCCTCCAACTCGCCGGATCCCATTCGGTATACGCAACCTTTTGGAGGAACAACACCTTACGACCAACTCGATGGTGTGTCGGACCGATTGCATGGGAACTCCACGTGGTTCGGCCAGAACTTCTTTGAACCGATCGAGTAGGTTTTGGATGTTTGTTGGGATCGGTGGGGGTGAAGGGTCGGCAAAGGGATCACCTAGATCAGGTCACAGGTTGCGAATGGATGCAACCGAATCCGAAGTAGAATCAGTTAGATTAGGGGTAGGTAAAGAAGTAGAAGGGCTAAAAGTAGAATCACGAGATGAAGTAGTATTGGTACTAACCGCAAAAGTAGATGGCACATGAGTAGGGTGAACAAACGCAACATACAATTGTTCCTCCTCCTTGTGCCTGCGCCATTTCTTGCAGAACTGCATGGCATTCAGAAAATCACTGGGGACTCGTGCTTCTCATCCAAGAGGACGGGAAACTCATTCCCTTGAGCATCTTTGACCATGAAAAGTGACTCCTTCCACTTGGTCTATTCGCATTGGGACTGCAGCCAGCCCAAGCCAAGGACAACGTCGAAGGGACACTTGTCAAGGACATAGAAGTTCAAAGCGTGGGTGACGGTTTTGTCCTTGTCAAAGATAGTGCGCACACCTTTGATTGCATGCGTATAAGAGACAACTTCCTTGTTGCCTACTTGGGTCCGACAAGGGTTCTGGAAAGCCACTTGCTTCATTCCCAAGCCCACTTTGCGTATCCCGTGTGGTGACATAAAGTTCGCAGTCGCACCACAATCAATCAAGACACGGAGATAGCGGTGGTTTATGAGAAGGTTGAAGAAGGACAACTTCCCTGTCCCTTGGGCACACTTATGTTTCATCTCAGTCCAATGCTCCAAGTGGTAGTGGAAGTCAATCGTCTCAGACTCCTCCCAAGGCTCGACATCCAAAGCATGGCACACTGCAGCCTTGGAATCAGCAGATGATTGGGCTTCAAGGGAGGACTGCTGATTTGCATCAGCTTCAGTCTCCCTTGCCGTAGAGGATGATGAAGTCAACTGTACGCCTGGTTTTAGTTTCCCTGCAGTCTATAACATTCTTGTACCTTATGGTTTGGTTTCTGGCAATGCAGGCATACCCTTTCTTGAGTCTAACCCTCCAATCATTTTTAGTGATAAAGTATCAAAGACCTATGATGGTAATAAATATGGTTAACCCGATTAACATAACAAAGGCATAATGGTACACAAAGCAACATAATAAATATGGCTATTTTTTTTAATGTGGTGGCACCATGGTTTAGTGGCTGCATCCTCCGGTTTCCTTGGGATTTTGACTCCCTTGGGAAGTTGGACATAGTTATTCCCATTATTTACATCAGAGTCATTGGCTGAAGAGTAGGTCGTGTCAGGGTCCTGTTCTTGGTCGTCACCAAGAGTGGGGTCGTTTGCATAGGCCTCATCGGCCTCCAACAGGTCATGCACAACAAAACAGCTGCTGCCTCTGAACCGCCTGCCGCCAATAGGCTTTTTGCTACCTGTTGTGGTAATGAGGTTTTGTGCCTCAAGGTTGACCACATCCTGCATGAGGGAGAGTCAGTCTGTGTAACCAATGATTTGTTTGCCTAGGCCATGCATGTAGGTAGTGGGAACCGTTCCTTTCACAACATCCAAGCATGATTGTGCATTCATTTCTAGTCCTCGAGTGGAAAAAAGTCTGCTGACGAACAGCTGCAAATTATGCATGGTGCCCGTCCACTTGCTGCGCTTAAGATCATCGAGTCTCTTTCGGGTTCTTGTGGCTATGGGTGTGGCTTTGAGCCACAGTGTCAGGTTGATCTTAGTGTACCCGGCTTGCATAGCTTGGACTTCCAAGAAGCCTCGTACGGCGGGCTCGACGTTGGTTCCCATGAT